GCTCCCGGAGAACCAGGGGTCGGATCTGGCGCTGGGGAGACTAGCGAATGCCGAGGTCGCGAGGGGGGCTGCCGCAGTTGCTCCTATCGCTCAGATTGGACTTCGGCGTCCCCACGACAGGTCTAGTGGGGACGGTGTGACACGGCAGGTGCCACCAGGTGGGCGGCGCGGAGAGGCACCGGTGGAGGCGCACAACTCGCCGTGGGGCGACCACCTCGGAGCTGGGAAGGAGATGGTGCGCCAGGGGCGCAAAGCTGGGTCTTCCTTAGACCAAGTTGACCGCGAAGCGAGCGCCAAACACAGTTCCGTGGGGAGACCGAGCCGGGCACGCCTTCGATTGCCTAGAGGAAGCTCTGGAGAGCATCACAATCCCCACGGTACGCGACAAAGCTGCTCGAGTATGGGGCGGTTGTATGGTGGCAGGGGAGCGTTTTCTCCCGCGTATGCATGTGGTGTCAGCGGGCGTGCATGTGGGAGGGCGATCACTGCCACGGCAACGTGAAAATTGGCATGGAAACATTTCGCCGAAAAATAGTGTGCCACATGTTTTGGCTGGTTGCTTGATTTCTTTTGGGTTTCAGAAGTTTTCATGTGACGTTTGTCGTTTGTTTCTTTTTTTTTTCTTTTTTTTTTCTTTCTCGTGGGAGCTGCTGGTTGCGACCGGTTAGCTGTTGCGTTTGGCAGAGATTCATGCTGCGTCGCATATACTTTGTGAACCATTTTTTTTTCGTGTAATCCTTTTTGCGCGTTTGTTTTCGGCGCGAGTGAGAACGCTTTACAAGAGTACGGCTGATGCTCAGGATTTCTTTTTAGTGTACGTGTTTTGTTGTTGTTCTGCTGTCGTCGTTTTTCGTACGGGGTTCTGCATGAGTTGAAGCGTTTCTCTTTTTATATTTCTTTTAATGGTGACGCGATCGTTCTATTATAAGAACTGCTGGCCAGTCCAGAAGTCCTGGCACAGTTTTCTGGGTGGGCGTGTAGGGATCGCTTGAGAATTTAATCGTTTCCTGGAAACTTAGGTAATCGACCTTCAACCGTTCGGATGGGGGCAGCCCGACGGCTCGCCCAAGGATAGGGGGATGAGCGGCTTGAGCCCTTTTTAATCTTTGGCTCGGGAAGGAGACAGACATTCTTGCCTGTCGCCGCGAGGTAGTGGCGACTTTGTCGTCACGGCGCGTTCTCAGGGACGGCTTGTCTGGTCGGGGGACTGATACAATGAAGTTTTAGCGATGAGGGGCGCCGGTTTGGGTCCACCTGGAGTCCCATTACGCTTTACTCGCTAACTTCGAAGGACACGGCGCCAATTTGTTTTGACGCGGCGAAGTGGGGGTGTTTTCCCCGTAAAGTAGTAAAGTATCGCCCCGATTGGAGAGTTCCCCAAGGCGTTTAGCATTGTTTTTCTTCGTAGAAAAGGGAAAGAAAGAGTTCTGTGGCTTTTCTGTAATTGGTGGAGGACCCGCTGGCACTGGGGCCAATAGAATTGTATAATCGTCCTGATTGGACAGGCCCTGTGTCAGCGGGGAGTTTTCTCGTCCACGCTGGCGAGAAAACGCTGAGTTTGAACAAGCCCGTGCGCGGAGCAAGTTATCTCCCGCGGTCCGCCGGTCCGCGTAGCTTTGTCGCGAGCGACGAGTAGTTTCTTGGAGCCCCGCCGTGCGCGGTGGGCACTTTGCGCCGAGGCGCGGTTTTTTTGGTATTTCTACTGCCGTGAGCGGACAGTAGAGTTCCGTAACCAAGTTTGCTATTGACGTTTTAATATATTTGTTTTTATCAATCGTTGCTCTCGACTTTGAGCGTCTTTCCTCGAGGCTCCGCCACCACCAACGAGCAAGAAGCGACCATCCTTAGCGGCTGTCCACGATCGCCCGGCCCTGACCTACGACTTCTAGGAAGGACCGGGACAAAACAACCTGGTGACCCTCAGGGAGGGGCACACTCTTTACTCCCTCCTTCAACCGATTCAATCCCAGGAAGACTATAATCAACTGCAACAAGATCTTGATCACATCCAAGCCTGGACGATCAGAAACAAATTACCCCTGAGTGCATCAAAATCTGCTACAATTCACTTCACCCCAAAAAGGAAAGCACAGAATCCACCAGTAATTTTAACTGTTAATAGAACTCCATTGGAACAAAAGGAGAACATAACCCTGCTCGGTGTCACCCTTGACAGCAAATTGAGCTTTACTGCACACGTCCACTCCGTCGCCTCACGTGCACGGCGGATGCTGGGATTCGTGCAAACTATCAGTAAGGGTCTGGGGCCTGCTGTGCTGGCGCAGCTGTACACTGCACTGGTCCTGCCCCTATTAGAGTACTGCTCGCCTATCTGGTCGCCACAGGGAGCCTCAGCTCAGGCGACACTAGAGACCATCCAGCGGCGAGCAGCTTACGGCGTCTACTGCCGAACCTCTCCAAGTCCTCGCTTTTTGCCACAGGACATCTCAACAACCCAGCTCTTGAGAGCAGCCAAGTGGAGTACTCTGTCCCGCCGGCGAGATGTAGCCACCCTACGGTTGCTGGCTCAGGTGATTGGTCCTGGGATCCCGCAGGACGACTACCTTCGCTCTGTGCCCCGTCGCAACGAACGAACCGGGCGCATAGACCCTCTCTTCGCTCGGACTCAACGGCACGACAACTCATGTCTCCTCCGGGCTGTGAGACTTTGGAGGTCCCTGCCCGACGCCATCACCAGCTTGCCCATCACAGACAGAGACGAGGTGACACAGCTCTGCAAGGCAGCAGCCAAACACCTCTAAACACCCACGAATGTCTTGCATACCTCATCATACGTCACCCACCTCACTTTTCACCCTCTTCACCATCCCATCATCATCGTCCCACACTTCTCAAGCCAAGAAGCCTCGCATCGCCATCATCGTCTAGCTGGCCACATAGGCACATATGTGTACGGGCGGAAACGCCTTCTATGCGACCTGTACTTAAATGTACAAATAAATATCTATCTATCTATCTATCTAACAGATTATAGCGTCGGTTGAGTCTGGACTTAAGCTGAAACGAAGTATAAATCGAAACGGGCAGGGATGGGGTTTAATCTAGGATCCCTAAGTTGGTGCAGCGCGAGCATTCTCTACACGTGCTCCGAGCTGCAGTAACATACTCGGCCACCCCTCCCACAGGTCACCTCAAGCGATGCTCGTTAAGGCTGGTTCCCACATGCAGTGAAAGGCCGATGCGCGCTGTTAAGAGTATTATCTTGCTTGTACGTTTGACAGCTTTGAAGTTGGTGCGCCTCAACTGGTGACCTGTCTCTCAGCTGTAGCTGGGGAATTTAGCCAGTGTAGTGAAACCGCTACGTGCACCATGCAGTAGTGATTACACGAACGCGTGCCGGTACGAAACTGACCCAGATAGAAGCGGCCGGAGGGTGGGGACCGAACGCAGGAGGTTCTTCAGCGCAAGCTTTCGCTCCGCGCTCCAAGCTGAGACGTGTTAGCCCACTCGGCCACCAATCCCCTGCCGCAGCGCTGTTCACCTGGGGGGCTATGTTGCGCTTTCTGCACTCCCAGGAGACTAGGGAGAAGGAAGTGACGTCAACAACGCAGCAAATGCAGATTGGATGTTGATTTTGTTTTCTTCTGTCAACATCCAATCGGCGTTTGCTCTAGTCGTTGACGTCACTTCCTTCTTCCAAGTCTCCTGGGAGTGCAAAAAGCGCAACATAGGACCCCTGTCGTCAGTAAAGCCCCTTGTTTCAAAAGTAGCGCAAGTTGCGTCGATGCACGAGGCACGTGCAAAGTGCAGCCTTAGGAAGATCAAGGCGGCACACAGCAGCACTGAGCTGGATTTCAGACACCATGAATTTCCGAGAAGTGGCACGCGGCACGTTCCTCGAACATTTCTACAACAATGAATGGCGCAACTTTTCCTTGGATAGAGGGGCTCTAGTCGTCAGCTACTTTTTGTCTGCCGTGAGCAACAGTTTTCATGGTGCAATGCTAATCTGGGGGAATGATTCCGTCAGCAAAGCGCTTAGAGTAAAGTAAGCGCTTTGTTTATAGCGCTGCGATGTACCTGTGAACAGGCTTTTTAAGGAAGCTTGAAATGTTTATCCTCTCATAAACCTATACACGACCGGTAAATATAATGATGCCTCAGGCGAAGATGCGCGCAATAATCGCGAGCTCAAAAGCTTCAGATGAACACCACTTCATTTTTCGACCAGGGCTACACTCTAAAGCCTGGTGCAGACAGTTACGTTTGACTGCGTTTGACTGCGTTGCGGCAGCGAGAAACCAGGACATCCCTGCTGCTTATATCGCGTGCCAAGATGATTCCTTGAATTGGAGTCCACGCTTCATACGAAGCACAGATGGGCCGGTGACTCGCTTTCGGTTCTCGACGCAACGCAGTCAAACGCACTCAAACGCAAGTGTCTGAACCGGCCTTAAATCTTGTTCCAGTAAGGATGCGACTATGACCGGAACTTTTGTGCAGAAACAGTTCCGCTTAGCCAGGAGAAACCGTGTTCCTAATATTGCGTAGTTTATACTAGTGTTTGAGGTAATTTATGTACTTTTTAGTTTATGCAGAGTTTTGTAACAGATTAGTAATCATTGTAAACGATAAATGTAAAAAAAAAAATATATAATAAAAACACCTTCTGGAAGAATTAATTGGAGCAGATTGGCGCTTAAGTGGAACGGCATGTAAGTGGAACAACAATTCACGTATCACATACTTAAAAACAAAGCAAAGCGAGCCGGCGTTTCACATATAATCACCCATTGCTATAAAAATTACCTTGTTCCAGAAATAATATGTGTAGCGTTAATGTAACTAGAAACTATGTGTAACCAAATTAAGAGTGTATGTCTGCGCGCCACCATTGTCATCCTACCAATGCCGTCAGCATAACGTCACTAAACGCTCGTGCGTGCCGCTGATCGTAGTTCGTTTGAAACATTTTTTATTTTTGTTCTCCCTTTGTGATGTGAAATGGGCAAAAAGTAAAGGAAACAGAGTGTACCTACCGAAACCATCGTCTATTTTGTAGAAGACCTTTCCTTCTGGCCATAGCAATGTCTCGTCTTTCACCACGGTGTAAGTGTCAAAGCGCTTCTTCTGCTGCAAAAAAATGAATGAACCGTCGCAAAAAATAACAGTTAGTTTGAACACGTATACGAGGGTGGAGTCAAATGACAACAATAAAACTGCCAGATAGCTTTTCGAAAAATGACGCTACTGTCCTGTAAGTTCGCAGCCTTCTTGCCAATACTTAAAATAGCGCCCGACGGGTGGCGAAACGGCGGAACGGTGCAGACAATCAGCATGACGCAACAGCTGCAGCATTAAGATGGCCAGCCCACTTGAGTCATGCACCAAAGAGATGTAGCGTGTTGCTATTCGTTTTTTATGCAGTGAGACAGTGACAAATATTCAAATTCATCGTTGGATAGTGTTGCAGTATGGTAATAGTTAGTTCTATAGATGAATTAGAAAGCTTTACAACATCGTGAGTTTCATTACAGACTCTCATGGGAAAAATCGCCGAAGGATGGAGGATTTTTTAAATAGTTTTTGAAACAACTTTATTTCGTATTTTTTTTCTTACACTTGTTGTTTTACACTGTTGAACTTTATTTCGTGTTTTTTTTTTACACTTGTTGTTTTACTCTGTTGCACTCCGGGCGACATCGCAGTGCTGATGGCCAAGCGGCGGATAAGCGTCTGCGTGCCTCACTGTAGGGTCATTGGCATCGGAGGGACAGGGCATCCGGACAAGCCTTTTTCGGCGGCTCTGGTTCTATCTTCTCGCAACTTCCATAGAATCTGCCGTCTTCCTCCTCCGTGCGGCGATTTCGCCGTTGCCGCAGCTGTGGTTCATGGGGTTGTCGTTTAACGAAGGGGTAGTACTGGTGAATGTAAAGGTGCCGTGCTCGTTCCCCTCCGATGGGAATTTGATGGACGATGATTAGTCGAGCTCTCCATTAGTGAAGGCGGTAGTAAATTGCAGAAACTGCTAGAGGACGTTGCGTATAGTTGTCATAGTTACCGTCAGGGCCAGCTCCATGCGGATTATAAACTGCTCGAGGCGGTCAGGAAACGTTTCGGCTGCCGAGTTGAGTTTGGCGGGTTGGCGGCGTCGCGCGTCGAGGGGGTTTCTTTTCAAAGTGTTTCAGGGGAACTTCCACGAGGGGATGGCAGATGAGGTGGGTGCCGAATTATCGTTTTCATCGTTTTTGGTGTTCGCCGAAGCCGATGTTGCCTTTCACTATGCCTCATTGGCTTTGGATGAAGTAGCCGAACTCTTCAGCGCCACTCACGGTCCTCGCCTCAAGCTATCATCACATTTTTGAACGACTTAAGGCTGCAATGAGATGAAATTTTAGGTTCGATGAAAAGGTGTAACAGGCGGAAATGGGCTCGCATGCTACATAAACATGATTTTTTTATTATTTTATTACTGGACGTTTCGCACTTCTTAGGTCCTGAAAGACGAGCTGTACAGCGCGAAATGAATTCTTTGTTGAAACAATGAAGTGCATAACTTGTTTAGTGCATTTCCAGCACGAAAATAATTAATGTTTTAATTTGACTCACGATCGTAATTCAAACAGGGCAAAAATATTATTGTTGCTGCTTACTTTTATATCGAATGTTCTAACTTAGTGGTGTTACTCTGGGCGCACAAAACTGTAGCCCTCGTAATTTGGCAAGAAAAAGACATCTGCTGAATGTACAAATATTGTAATTTTGAAGTCACTTATTTACCACGATGTACACTGCGCGAAATTGCAAGTGCGAGCACGACCTCCGCGCTTTTTCGCTTTTTATATTGAGACGTCCTGTTTCTCTTGGCCAAGAAGCGCGAGTGCGCCCGTACAACGCAATCATTTAATGCTAGCATCAAGCACAAAGCTCCACTGCAGGTTTCGATCATGCACGAGTCACGGTCGTTTAGAAGCGCTCTTCAGAGTCTGTTCACGCAAGGTAAAAGAGCGCGTAAAAAAAAAAAAAAGCCTAAAAAAAAAAAGATGCAGTTTGCGCAATTCTATTGGAACAATCAAACTGTTTTTTTTTTTTTTTAGTTTTCATGATTCTGTTATCTCTCCTACCCAAATATTTATCCACCAATGCAATTCTGCCAGCTTAGTGTTCGCTAGCGATGTTAAATTAGTTGATTTGGCTTGCCAAAGGCGCTGCCCAAGCTTGGGAACTAGGGCCTATTGGCGGGCACCAACATTCCCACCTTAGGTTAGCAACCCAAACGAGGGATTTAAGGCCGCTAACAATTTTGGTGAAAGTCTTAGGTAAGAAGAGGAATAATGGCGGTGTCGTGTCGTGAGCTTGCAAATGATCTGCGACGATAGCCCAGGCGCGGTACACTTTGCTGCACACTCTGCTTTGCACAGCTACACTTCCGCGTTTAAATCCAGCAGACGGTGTTGATGAACACTTTGACGTCACGTGACACCGTGAGGTGACACATCGATTCTTCACTAAATTTAGCGGACCACGACCTACATACAAACACACCCCGAGATCTGCTGCGAAACCTCTTCGCCTTAGAAAAGGAAAAAAAAATAAACAAACAACAACACGGGATTACCCCAATAGGTACAGTCTCTATCAATATGAAAGAGCGCTCGGAGCGCGTGGCCGAGACTGTAGCGAGCGGTGGCACGGTGTGCCTTTGGGGAAGTTCCTCACTTCTTCGAGGGGAGAGGAATCCCTCCAAAATGCACTCCAATTTGAATCGGCGTGCACTTATGAAGCGCCTCATTTTTCCCTGAGAACGACGTGGAAATGCCGAGAGCGCGGACAGTGCCCCGACCTGCCGCCGGCTCGGCCGCGCGCTCCGAGTGGGTCTTTTGTGTTAATGGAGCATGTACATTCAAATACGATGCTGAGCGTCGGCCGGCCGATACTGTCAGATACTCACAACGACTAATCTTTGACCCAAGTGAGACGGTACCATCACAGATAAACCAAGTGCGGCGATGTGAGGGCAGGAAGCCCTCTCGTTCTTTTATTTGAAAGGTGAAGCACCGCCAATCAGGCAAACGTCGCGTTTTTCGCCCCTTATCACAGACTGCTATAGATTGAATCCTGGTTGAACACAAAGGAGATTAGGACGCCGATAGGGAAGATACCACAAAATTCCTAATTGCCCTGGTTGGTATTTAGCCATAGAGTAATATAGCGATACGTAAAGAGTAGTCACTGAAGCTCTATCACGGCCCAGCTGTTAGTATTCACGACACCAGCTATCTGGCACAGTGGAGCCTAATTATTTATTATACGTTCGTTATATTTTTACCATTGAAAATAGTTCTGCTTTAATTTACATGTTTTTAAAACTAATAGTAGCTTCAAACTTTTTCAGACATATGACACCTGCGACTGGGGCTTTGACAGGACGCACAACTTTGCAGCCGCCATAACGTCATAACGACATAACGACAGGCAAAGTGACGTGGTGAGGATGCGGCGTTCTGTTGCTCTCCTCGCGTGGATTTCTCGTCGTGCTTTGTTTGCGGCGAAGATGAGACGGTTGAAGCGCAGCCACATTGAGAGGGTTTCAAGTGTCTATGGATCGTCAGCTGTGTCACCGGAAAGCTCTTTTCTGTTTCCCATACGTTCGAGCTAGCTGACGCTCCAAACCCGAACGTTTTGTCTTGCACGACGCTTTCATCTCACAAGCGTGCGTTCACTAGAGGTTCGTTTAAAACGTCGAGCTTGATCTCTTAGATCCTCCTTGGCTCGCACTTACGGTGAAATAGAGTACACACTTCTAGGGATGCCTCCAGAAGAGCTCGTTTTTTTATGGTTGTCTTTGTGGTCACAATAAATATTTGTGCATTACTCAGTTCTCTCGTTCGGTTGTCACCTTTTTTTTTGTTGTTGTTGAGTAAAGCGGTTTTAATATTATATTGCACAGTGTGCATGATTTACTCTGGAAATTAGAATTTATGCGTGTGTTTGGGAAATCGATTTCTACCTGTAATTAGAAGTCCAGTATGTCACGGCAGATTAGGTGGCGCAAGCTTCCGCCTAATACGAATCGAATCAATGAAATTAGTTATCCACCCACTCAAATAGCAGCCATCAATGTCTCCAGCCATTTAGTAAAAGGAAGCCATTTCTCTATTGTGGAGGCAGGTGAAGGTTGCGGACCTATGAGGGAGCGGAGAAGGTGCCATGTAGATTTTTGATGTGAGTAGGAATCAATCTTCTTACAAATTTGGTCGCAGCTGGTAGTAGTGTCCAGGGAGAAGCAGTGTGTAATTATGTCCTCTCGTAGGAGGTCGAGGCTTTCCTGAAGTTATGTATGGTGGGAATAAAGTCGGGCTGTATTAAGTAATCGTTTTCGTTTTTGACAGAGCCTGAGGAGGTGAAGATCGAGGTGAGCTATAGGGGCGGTAGATTGTTAACTTTTGATGGATGTCTTATGTGCATTGCGAAGAGAATGAAACCAATCTGTGTAAGTTGGTCATATGCGTCGGCTCGAAGGTCGAGCGGGAAGTTGGTCGAAGTGTAAAAATTGTGGTGCGTTTTTCTATTTATTTTTTTTTGGGGGGGGGGGGTATATAATGGTCACTGAGAAATTTATTGTCAGTGACCTGCCACGTGATACGTAGTTTGCCAAGGGAAAGTGAAAGATCGGGAGTGGAGAAGAGTTGGGTTTCGGTGCGTGCCCTCGTCGGCATATCAGGTGCATTGAGAGGAGATAAGTGGTTTCGTTGCATATGTGTGCAGCAAAGGCGCCCTGTCCTAAGCGCGTGGGCTATCTCCAGTAGGTGTAAAGCTTGTTGATATCGCCGCTATAAGGATAGCAGAGTCGTGGGTGAGTGAGGTCGCAAGGGCGGAAGTCCAAAAAGTGTTGCTGATGTTTAGGCGGGTTGTAAAAGTTTAGAAGATAGACGGGAGCCTCAGAAGTAGAGTAATAGGCGATGGCGACAAGGTAGGATTGCAAGGCATATTCGGCCTCAATTTGTTGGAATTTAATATCGCGACGGATATAGGGAGAAACAAAGGAAACTGACGGATGGAAATTAATTTCCCGGTAACAGGGATCGATGAGGGAGTGTCGAGATTCCTGCAGAAGAAGTAAGTGCGGAAGA